ACTTAAGGCAAAGCGGTCAACATGATATATAGCTGCGGCCTTTCTAAGACTTAATTTTGGGTCATTCTGGAGGGCCTGAAGGGCAAGAATAATCTTAGCTTCATTTGGAGACTCTGGCATATTGGATTGTTGAGAAATATCTGATTGAAAAGTGATAGTGTAGGTTGAGGGATTTTTGGAGCACTCGCTTGTCTGGAGCACTCGCTTATCATGCACGTTAGAATATCTTAGGTACCTTAGTTATCCGTATGAGGTGAGGCTCGACACGAACATTGTCACATTTTAAGCGATCACACTCACTTGCAGTCACAGTCAGTCTCGTTCGATGGATCGAATAGCATCCCTTGACCATAATTTAGCTTGGAAGAGATATTCATCTACTCAAGTGTATCATCTGTATTCCCATTCGCTGATTGCAATCTGCATCCTCTCTTGCCCATGACGCATGAAAGACGCCCCTATCTGTCCCAGACAACCATCTGTTAGAGACGAGAAAACATAGTAGAATAAAGAAAACAGAAGCCAAGATATGAATGACCCGGGGTAATAAACATACCAAAAAGACTCCACAAAATATCCTAATCTACCTCGATAAAGAACGATCCATTTCAGCGTAGGCCAGCCAGTTAAATGTCGATATCCTCCAGCCTTACCACCTCAGAGGTCTTGTTCTGCAATCCCATATACGTGTTGTACTGCTCACGAAGTCCAGGGTACTTTCTCTCATACCACTGAACGCGGGCTTGCAGCCACAGCATGGTCGTTTGAAGTCCCTTTAATACCTGTAGTAGGGGAACAGGATCTTGTAGAATTGGGCTCCAATACTCCCATTCATGTGTCTGGCAGTACAGCTGGAAGGCAAACTCTTTCGCTACGAGGATTTGGCGTTCTAGCTCTGTCCTGATCTCCCTTAGCTGTTCGCAATCTCTCCGGATCGTCTGTTTGTGTGTCTCGAGAAGAACTTCAATATCATCATCTTGTACGACAAGACTTGGACCTATTCGGGGTTGAGGAATACAAGGTTCATCCGATAGTATCTTTATATCCCGCTCATATTCAGCGTTTCCGTTTCTCTGTACATGAGGCGTGTCTTTGTGTTGGTGAGCAGAGCCCTTCGCATTAAAGAGTACAGGACCAGAAACAATAATGAATTTGCCGCTCTTCCCGCGTGGATGAGAGTCATCAGTGGCAGGAACTGGACGAGAACCAGGGGTTTCATGCTGCTGCTGCTGCTGCGCTGCCTGACTTGGCTCAAGTCTCGCCTGGGAATATGCGTCTGTGTTGTCACCTGGTAGCTCCGCTAGTCCAGGGAGAAGCCGTTGCAGTTCCATGGCGGGACGTGATATGGTGTTCGGAGGCGACACCGTACCTTGGATTTTGGCTTGTTCAGCGAGATACTGTGCTCGTAGATTCTGAGCCTTACCCCCAGCCCTTCTCAGCTTGTGCCATTCCCTGGTTTTTTCCCTGATGCGCGCGAATATTTGCACAGGTTTACCGCCGTCTCCTGAGTCTGATGGCTCAGATGACGGTAAACCCAGTGCCGATTGGGTATGCCACTTAATTTTAGCGATGAAGCTGTCTTGCATGTTTGATCACCTGTTGTATGTGATGTTCGAAATAAGTGCTGCTATCCCTACGGAAAAGAGGAGATCGAGTCTAGATTGCTGTGGAAGCTGCTTTTAATGTCTATGATTCAGCCACCACATACAAGAAGATGCATATATGATTTCTCAACAGTCACCGTGTTCCCATCAAAACCATCAATTGAATAGATTATCTACCAGTGTGAACGAAGCGCCAAACCAGAACGCTGTTGAATACATGAACAGCAAAACCACTATTGAATTTCTCCTCCTTTGTTCTGGGGCATCAAACACTACCGCTAATGCCAACCTTGAGAACAAAGCGACAGAAAATATCGCAATAAGCTTGATGCACTGAAGGCTGTCACTTTCTTACTGTCCTGTTTAGTTCATAGATGCCTTGAGGGCATATCCAATGCTGGTGGGTTATTCGCTTGGCTGACTTTTATGCCGGATGTTAGTCCAACACCTGCCAGGCTACCCCGATGATGACTGAAGCCTGGAGCGAATGTGTTTGTAGACTGTCTTGTACCACCAAAACTAGGAATTGGGGTTCCCGCGAGAGTTGGCAATGTCGCCGTTTGGTGTACGGATGTTGTGTTGATACCAGATCGGCGGAGACCACCAACAGGGGCCTCTGATGTATCGCCTGTCATATGTCAGCAAGTACTGTATGCTGGTGAAATGAATGCTCACGATGAGATGGCACTCCTAGTCGTGGCCAATGGTTTCCTTCTCTTGTCATATTTGTATAGTTTCGTGAGAGGCCGGTGTTCATTCCTGAGATATCAATGCGATGACTCTGGCTAAAGGCTGACAGAGGGGTGTTTTCAGCATGGCTTTGTGCAGGCAAGTTAATTTCATAGCCCGAGTCCATCTGGGTTGTTTGTAAGGTTGAGTCAACAGCATCCGATGCTGCCCTCCGAATCTGACCAAGCTCAGCTTTTCTCTTGACTTTGTCGTAGAGTTCTTGTAACTGCAGGACCTTGCGACTTTTGTCTTTGTAAGCTCGGGAGATTTCGTCATTCTTGCGCCGCAGAGCATCCTGTTCTGCTGCTAGACCTGCTCTGTGTCAGCTGAATAGGTGCGAATCTGGGAGAAGTAGAGCACTAACTTGACAACTTGTGGTGAAGACCCTCGATCTCCGAATTAGCGTCGTTTACGGTCTTCTCGAGGCGGACGCTGAGATTTGAGTACTTGTCGGTCAGGGTTTTGTATAAATACTGTTGGTAATAGATGTCTTGGGTGGTCTGGTAAGCCCAGAAGCTGAGAGCCCGGCCAGCACATTCCATAATGACGTTGGGGCTAAGTCCGCTTAGAACACTGGTCTTGTAGTCTTCACTTGGATTCAGGTTCGTAATCACGGCGTCGTCCGGATTGGTTAGTTGCGAATGGCAGGCAGGGCATGTGTTGCGGCGATCAGCTTCCTGTCCGTTGACACCGAGTCGCTGGGCGCATTCCATGCAGAAGATATGGCTATTGATCTTGATGTCAGAGGATCGCTGGCTTCTGGAAGCCATATGCTTACCTGCATGTCGTCACAAGTGCACGTTCGCTCAGCTCTCTTCGACATTTGAGGTTATTGCATGTAAGTGCGTGCTCCATGTCTGCTCTTCTGTGATTCTGCGCCCGCGTTGCGCAAAAGATTCGTGCCCAAGGACGGTTGCTTTCTGATGGAAGGGGATGGGTTGCGGTTCATCCTGAGGATGGGAACGGTATGGTTGATACCAACAGACGTGGGAAGGAAGAGCACCGCGATGATGCCTTCCAGATGTGGAACTTGAGCCTTGCTTAAGGTACTACCTACCTACCTAACCTAGGTACCTGGTAGGTACACTTCAAATCCCCTCGACAATGGATTAGAGAGAAACTGACACAAAGACAGTACCTAGGTAAGGTACTAGGTAGGTAGGTACTAGGTAGGTTCGTAGGTACTTAAGTCAAGGGACCTTAGGTATCTAGGTGCTAAGGGAAGGCACTCGAACATCAAGAGATATGTATGTGTTTGTATATATCTAGATACTACCTAAGGGGGCAAAGTAAAGTACCTAGGTAGTCATACTGTACCTAAAGTAAAGCGAAGCAACGTAAAGCAAGTAAAGGGTCGTGACCTCGTTCCATTGTCGTAAGCTGTGATCCGGCCAAGGAGACGACCTGCGCCCCCGGGGGTGCATGATGCCCCTATACCCACTCAGAGTCGGGAATCGCATGTAAAAATACATCGAGAAAGGTTACATCTTCCTCATCTCATTTCAAGTGAGCCGTAGATTCCACGCTCATCCTCATACATCGAGTGTTGCATCGGAGTGACCAAGTCATGGCCATATGGCTGACCCTCCATCATAGATGGCACAGGCACCGAGCTCCATTGTCGTGAGCTATAGTCCCACCAGGTTTGTTGTGTGAGATAGCCGGATCCATCGTTGGTTTCAAGCTGTTCGGTGGGTATCTCAAATTCAAGCTCTCCGATGAGCGAGTCGAGGTCAGCCTCGAGAGAAGACTGAAGTTCCAGTAGGGAGTCTGATGGTACCAGAGATGTGTCTGGCTTGGGAAATGATGACTCGAGAGGTGGTGATGGAAGAGGATCTCCAAGTGGACATTGTGATTGAGCAAGGAGGTTGATTAGTTCCTGTTTGTCCATGGTCCGCAGGGCAGAAACGTCATGGTTTGGGTAAAGGCGCCGAAGCACTGACCGACACTCCTCGAGAGATTGTGCCAAGCTATCCAGAGCCCTGGAGGACGGTTAGCCCAAGGGGTATTCAGTTTTTGACATGTCACTTACTTTCTGGATGGAATCATTCGCTGGCGATGTTTATCGTAAGAGCAGCTCTTTGGAGCTCGGCTGGTGATGCATTGGCCGCATGGCAGTTTGCCATCGCAGCGGATCTTTCTTCGTTTGCACTCGGCACAGGCATGAGGAGTCGTTATGCGCCGTGTGCCAGCGACTCTGGGTCTTGCACTGCTGGAAGCAGCGGGCTGCTTTTTGGGAATGATGCCCTGGACTTTGATACTGTTAGGACATGAAGACGACAATGATGATGGATAGAGGTTAACTTACAGGTGTGAAAGGAGCCACCTGCGGCAACCTTTGTACTTGAAGGAGACATGTTAACAAGGAGTTGACAGCGCTAGTCAGGAAGATAATCCTATTGTACAAGCCACGAAGAGAAAGGGCCCCCAAACTTTGATCTGTGTAAGGCTGGACACCACACTTATTAAGTAGTGCTGTTAGTGAAGCAGGTCTGCCAAGGACTTTAGAGTAGCGGCGACGATGTTACGGTCGAGCCGGCGCCACCCCTAGCAGATAATGCGGAGAAGGACGCTGCTAGACGTACGGGAATGGATCGTGGGGAACAGGAGAGCAGGGTCCTCATTCGTGGGATGATGCAAGTCCTTGAAATGGACGCATGAAGAGGGACGATCCAGAGCGTATGGGGTAGCGTAGCATAACACGACACGACACGACACAACGCAGCACTACGCAGCAGACGACAGTTTTTGCCCGGAGAGATGAGAGGGGGGCGGCTATGACATTTGACTATGCCCAAGTAATGGGACGTGAAATTAAAAGCAGGTTAAACTCAGGGTCCTGTTTGTTGACGATTGTCTTCGGGCATGGCGACCCATTTGGAAATGCCTGCAGAGGAGATTTGCTCAGAGTAGGACGAGACAGGACGTGATCTGCTGGGCCGCCTCCACGACAGATCAGTTTCTGCGCGTCATTTCGTGTATTGTACCCGAGGTTAATTAGACGCTTCTTCATTGCATCAAGACTGGCGAAAGACAGCACCGGCAATATCTGTATCCGTACGAATACACGAATACCGTCAGGGCATCATACCAACAACTGCGATGAGGTAGGGCAGGGCAAGCAAGGCATGGTAATGTGAGGTGACGATTCAGGAGTATCTGCAGTTCCAGAGTCGAGTCCAGCCCAGCCGAGCCCAACGCTATCCCCTCACCATTGCAAGCCAATCCAACCCAACCCAGCCCTTAATGACGGGCATATTGGCTTGGGCGGCCCGAAGCATTCACGGCAGTCGACTGATGGCTGCAACGGAGGAGGAGTGCTACTAGCACCAGCACCAGCACCAGCACCAGCACCAGCAGAGTCCAAGCTTGTACAGAGTAGTTAAGCAAGATCTCCAGGAGGCCTCGGCGTTGCGGTAGGACCCTTATTCCCGAAGAAGTAACAGTAGCATCGCCTCGCATCCATCACACGTCGCTCCCTCGTCATGCTTCTTCGACATTGGCGGCCCTTGAAAGCCCCAGGTCCAAGTCCAAATCCAAATCCAAGTCGATGGATGGATGGATGGAGAAGTGATGGGGATGGGATGACTGTGGTGGCTTAATGCGACAGGCAACAGGGCAGTAAAAGGCCACGAGATGAAGGGGCCAGATGCATGCATCCAAGTGTGCATGTAGTTCGAGCCGCCGATTGCTGCCCTATCACGTTTATCCATGCCCTGGCCCCCTGGTCGATTTGCATTTATCCAGGAACCACATCTCAAGCTTCCTATTTCGGACTCAGCAATTTTATGGTTAAGTTGACAAGTTACGGGGAATTTCTGGGGAAGAGACTCAACCGATGAACCAACATTCACTGAATGATCTGCTTTGACTGTACAATTGAGGCGTACGTACCTACGTGTTGGGTTGACAAGCGAGATCGTGTACTACATACCTAGAGTGGATTGCATGTTGGTTCGTATATGTAAGAGATCTATCTATCTGCCAGATCGGCCGTCAATCTCAACACAGCACTACACTACGGAGTACACAGCAAAAAAAGAAAAAAAAAAAAAACAGAAAAATAAATGAAATCATACCAGATAATGATAAAATCAAATGTATTTCCGCTCTTCGTGACTAATTTTCCGTCAAGCGCTATATCATGCAGGTATTCATCCGATGTTACCACTCACCTCCCCATTGACCTTAGTCTTGCCTTAGTAATTAACCACATCACACATCACCTTGCTTTTACCAACTAGAACAAAAGCGCGCACTTCACGCACGCACGCATACAAGCACACACGCAGGCACAAGCAAATCAAATCTAATCAAACCAAGCAAGGCAAGCGATTCGTTCACATGGACAACCTCCGAGGATGGGACACCAACTTCCCCAAGGCACCCGAGTACAGAACGCACGCACTCTTGTCAAAATTGAGCCTCGCATCGCGCGTGTGATCATTAATCGACCCATCGGAGACTTCTTTCATACCACTCACAGAACTCTGGTTAATACTCCCTCTACCAAGGGTCTGGGATCCTCGGCCCGTTTCTCTGAATCCCCTCCAGCTCCACGACTTCTACCCCGGGTTTTCCCCTCCAAGCCCTCCAACTGTTTCGGACCCTGGTTACCTTTCAGGGAAGGTGACCGTGATCCGGCTGGATAATAGTCCTGATACCGAACTCCGTGTCCACTGCTCGTCACGCTCCACGAGACTCTCGGAGACTCCCTCAATCCCTTCAGAGAGAGGCCCGCTCAATGCTCTCTTTAGTTTACAAAGACCTGGGGTCCCCGGCGCCAAGATTCATCCACTTCAGAATGAGCCGGCCTGATTTACCGACCATGTTCCCACGTGAGTTGGCTATCGGAACACTCTGGCAGGCCCTCGCCCGCTGTCCTCAGCCTCGGCGCGAGATATGGTCGCCTCTGCCCCTCCGGCCGGATGGGTCTCGCTGTAACGAACCATCCCAAACAGCTTCGTGATTCTACCCTCATCTAATTCATCGACAAGTAAGGAGACGTCCGTCTGTCTGTATGCATGCGCTGGACACTTCAAAGCCACGCCTGAGATTCCAGGTCGAGCGGCCAGTCGGAGCGTAAACCCGTGGTTACCATCATGCCCGGATTCAACATCGGACATTGTCTCTATCAAGAATAAACTCAACCCAGAACTAACCCTCCATCAGCAGCTCAACACCCTATTCTTTGCTTCTTGCTGACGTTTTGCATGAATATTGAATACTCTGCTGCCATGAGCACTTTGACTTTGGCAACACTCGACAAGCTCTAGACACTCACTGTAGTTCTGCTTCACGCCTCCCTCGCCAGAACAGGATTTTCGTGTTTGACCTTGGAAAAGATCTCGGAAATCTCGGGTTCTCCGTCACACCAAATACTAGAATCTTGAAGAAAGAACCTCATTCTGTCCTCTGATAGGCACGTCGTTAACATCCGGTCACGGTCCTTTTGCATGTCCGTCGATCATAATACTTGTAGAATGCTGGGAGCCCCTGTAGCATCCCCAGCAGCAGCGAGGAAAACAGTATAGTGGCACTCATATACCCCATATGTGACTCGATCTGATAACATGTCATGGCAGCACCCCTCAAATCCGGCACTGGAGACCCCATGAGCTTGCACTCGTTCAGACTAGTAGCCGCCGAAACTCGGTGCCAAGTGTAGACTAGCAGAGACGGCCCAAAATAATGCCGAAGATTGATTCGATTTCGCCTAATATCCCGTGGTTCATGTATGTATAGATGTGACCAGAGGCCACCAAACCTACACTTAGACAAGGCCATCGTAACTATACATCAAATATAGCTTAGCCTAGTGATGACTGGAGACAGTGCTGCTTGCGAGATCCACA